ATAGTCATTATGTAATGGTGAAGGGAATAATTCAACAAGAAGACAATAACAATTGAAATATTTATGCACCTTACACAGGTGTACCCAGATTTCAAATCCTACTCAATCTAAACAAAATGAGAAACAGCAGCATTGTAGTATCTTTGGACTTCAACACCCAACTAACAGAACAGGACACATCCTCCAAGCAGAAAATAAGCAAGGAAATGATGGACTTAACCTGAACTCTACAACAGATGACAGACATTTACCTAAAACCCACTGAATATGCATTATTCTCATTAGCTCATAGAACATTCTAAGACTGGTAACATGATAGGCCACAAAACAGGCCTCAACAAATTAAAAAATATAGAAAACTTATAGTCTGTATCTTTGCAGATCACAGTGGAATAAAGCTAGAAATCAATTTTAACAGAAGCACACATCTATACAAAGTCATGTAAACTGACCAGCTTACTACTGAATGATAGTTGGGTCAAGGAGGAAATTAAGATGGAAATCTAAAGATTCTTCAAGCTAAATGACAAAGGGGGCACAAATTCTCAAAACCTGTGGACTTAGCAAAAGTGTCATAAGAAGAAAATTTATTGCCATAAATGCCTACATCTAAAGAATAGAAAAATCACATGTTAGCAGTTATCTCAAGGAAATACAAATTTCAGGTAAAAAATTTTTATTAAATCTTACATAAAATTCAGACACTTCAGGTAATAGTGGTATTTGATGAGAAGTCCTGAGAGACTTTTTAAACCTACTTACTGTGAGTGTTTAAAAGCACTGCTATATGCTCACGCCTATAATCCTAGCACTCTGCCCGGCTGAGGCCAGAGTATCTCTTAAGTTCAGGAATTCAAGAAAGATCAGCCTGAGCAAGAGCAAGTCCCTGTCTTTACTAAAAATAGAAAAATTAGCCAGGCATTGGGGCAGGTGCCTATAGTCTCAGCTACTTGGGAGGCTGAGGCAAGAGTTTCACTTGAGCCCAGGAGTTTGAGGATGCTGTGAGCTATGACACTACAGCACTCTACTGAGGTTGACAGAGTAAGACTGTCTCAAAAAAATAAATAATAAAATAAAATAAAAGCACTGTTGTGATTTTTTATACTTCTCTATAATCCAGTGAGCCAGGATTACAATGAAAGAAGAGCACTTTCTTGGGGCAAAGGCAATATTAAGTCTATGCATACTTTTAAATAGTTTCCTGATATTTTAAATTCTGGTTCTTTTCCATAATGTTTGACTACAAAATCATTTTTGGTTAATCCCTTTGTAGACTCTATATGTAGGGAAATAGACCATTTATATTTAATGGGCACTGAAAAGTTGATTAGAAGCTCTGTGTTTGTGGGCTGGGTTTGGGCTGCAGTACAGTGACTCAGCACCACGCTGGCATTTTTCTTGGGATATCATCAAATGTTAGTATCTACCATTTTCTCCTCTAGTGGTATTTAATTACTGAAAAAGACGAGCCCTTCATTCTTCTGAAAGAGCAAGAAATGCCTGACTTCTGACAGTCTGGGAACAGGGCGGAAAGAAGGAATGAGATTCTCAAGTTGAGTGTGCTTTCGCTTGGTCCCCTTGTTTTCAGCCCTGAAATGATATTTTTGAGTTTGGTGCTTGTCAGGTTCAGTTGTGCCATAGACTTGGGCTGCTGGAATGAGGGTAGGAGCTTTCCTGCAATTGTTCAGGAGAGAGCAGGTGGAACGGATCTGATTTTCAGTTAGTTTTCCAGTTTCAGTTCTGCTCACATGTTCTGTGGTTACTGGTGTTATCCAGAGCTGATCTGGGTATCTGCAGTGTTTCAACTTCTTCAAAATATATTTCCTTGGATACACTGTTCTCCATTCTGTTTTCTTAAGTCAGTTACCACAATACCATCTGCTTTTTTCCTTAAAACGTTTAAGAAAAAAATTCTTTGTCTACTAACGTGTCTGTCTTTCATTCATACCTCTTGCCCTTTTGGTTTTATACATTTTGTTAAAAGAAAAATCCCTTCACAGTCATTTCAGTGTGATTTTTGGGATATGGTATCTGTGGTCAGTCTGTCATTTTAAACCAGAAATCAAGGAACCATTTGCTCATTCTTTTTCTCTTTAGTGCCTGGCACATAATATGTTCTGGATGGAACTGCTGGATGGAAATATGTTTGTTTGCTTGGACAAACAGTTTTGTCTGTTACATTAGCCTTAAGATACCTATTTGCCTATTTATAATTTTTCTCTATAAGTAGACATGTATTGAGGCTGATTTACATAGTAAGTACAGGGTTTATTCTGAATTAGGTATACAGAGGGTACCAAAAATGTATACACAATTTAAGAGAAGAAAAAACTGCATTAAAATTCTAATACTCAGTGTATACCAATAAAAGATGAAATACAAGTCACATGTGAGCACCTCTTGTAATTGCAGAAGTCAAACATGACTTGTGTATTCTAATTTTAATGCACTTTTTTCCCTTTCTTAAAATGCATACACATTATTTTGGGACCTCTTTGTGTATATTTAAGGTGGTTCTAAAGAGGCAAATGCTGATTATGGTGTGAAGCCTTCCAACTACTACTGCTCCCTCCCCATTGGCCCCTTTGTAGTTAATTTTGGGAGCCACTGGCTTGGCACAGCATCTTATCTAGGTAAGATGTATGCATTGTGAAGTGACTGTGTGGGGATGAATAAACTCTAGTAGGGGCAAAGAAATTAAACTATAAAAGTGAGAGTAAGTAATAAAATTGGCATTTTTAATAAATAGATCAGTATTTCCCTTACTCTTAAAGGTAGCCCTGACCAGCAATTTGGGAGAATAGAGACACAGGTGTGGTAGAGAGACAGCTGGGGTATAGAGCCCTTGCTGTGGCTCCAGGGCTAACTCATGGGTCTCACAGTGGGAGATGCCTTCCCATGTCACACACCAGGAAATGAGTGAACGAAAATTTGGCAGTTACCTTAAAATAATGAGCAAATTACAATTTTGTTTTAAACTTCTGTGCAGTTATTTCTCCCTGGTCTTTAAAAAGTTTATAGAAGGACTCTACCCCTAAATTTAGAGAGTTCTTTCTAATGAAAGTGGTTACCTCCCTAATGAAGACCTACAGAAGGGAGAACTCATGTGGCAAAATGTGTTAGTAAGATAGTGGGTTAAGAAAACTTCAGGGCTGCAGAAATTGGAGTTACTCATGGAGGGGTAAGGATAAGAAACTTTTTGGAGCAAGGTAACTAAATATCTTTGTAAATTTTCTAGACTAGAGTCTTCATACCTGAATATTTTTCTAGCTGTCTCCTTTAACATATCCATCTCTATTATTTAGTTGACATATTCTATCAATTGCTAACATAAGATTGGTTTTAGGGAACTATAAATACAGACGGTAGAAGTATACATTCCAGGCTCAGTGCTGTAGCTCCAAGTGGCTAAGGTGCCAGCCACATACACCAGAGCTGGTGGGTTCACATCCAGCCTGGGCCTTCCAAACAACCATGACAATTACTACCAAAAAAAAAATAGCTGAGCTTGTGGCAGGCGCCTATAGTCCCAGCTACTTGGGAGGCTGAGGTAAGAAAATTGCTTAAGCCCACGAATTTGAGATTGCTGTGAAACAAAAGAAAGCTTTAGAAAAATAAAAGTTTTGAAAATCTGACCAAGACTTTTTACTTACAATTTTTCTTCTCTTGACTAACTTCTCCAGCATTATTGATGGTGGGATTTCTGAGAGAAAACACTTAAAAAGACAGGAAACTGTTTTAGACCTTCATTGCTTCAGTGAAAATTATCCACTTCTTTTTTGAGACCGAGTCTCACTCTATCACCCTGGGTAGAGTACTATGGTGTCTTCCTAGTTCACAGCAACCTCAAGCTATTGGCCTCAAGAGAATCTCTTGTCTCACCCTCCTGAGTAGCTGGGACTAAAGGCATGTACCACCATACACAGCTAATTTTTCTTTCTTTTCCTTTTTTTAAGTTTTTCAAACTAATATGAGGGTACAATTTGTAGGTTACATTGTTCTCACTTCCAGGGTAAAGTTCCATTTGTAGAAGAGCCCCTCCCCCTGGGGGGTGTTATACACCCTCACAATGTGTATATTAGGTGAGGTCCTGCCTCATGCCCTCCCTCCTTCTGCCAACCCAGCTAATTTTTCTATTTTTAGTAGAGATGGGCTCTCACTCTTACTTGGGCTGATCTTGAATGCCTAAGCTCAAGCAATTCACCTGCCTCAGCTTCCCAGAGGGCTAGGATTACGGGCATGAGTCACCATGCCTGGCAAATTATCTAGTTCTTCTAAGGGTGTTAGAACTAAAGTGTGCAGTTATTGTCTGTTAAAATGGAAACAGGTTGGGGTTCTTTGCCATCCAATTTTGTGCTAAGGTAAAAATGGAATAATAACCAAGAAAAAAAGATAGTACTCTCAGGAAAAATGGAATAAGAACCAAGAAAAAAAAAGATAGTACTCTCAGGAAAAATAGATGATAAAATTTGTATTGAGAGTGACTGTTGAAATGCCATGATACTACTAGAAATTAAAACAATAAAGTTATTAATTTTGTCTTTGGGGTAGTAATACATTTGAACTTTTTTTTTTCACTTTCACTTTGTATATGAATGGCCTGAAATTTCCATCATGATTGACTAAGAGTAAAGCAACAGAAGAACAATATTTTAGTACTGACCAGGCTAGAGCGAAAGTGATCCTTTACAACAGTGGTTCTCAACCTTCCTAATGCCACGACCTTTTAATACAGTTCCTCATGTTGTAGGGACCCCCAGCCATAAAATTATTTTTGTTGCTACTTCATAACTGTAATTTTGCTACTGTTGTGAATCATAATGTAAATATCTGATAGGCAGGGTGTATTTAGGCAACCCCTGTAAAAGGGTCGTTCGACCCCTAAAGGGGTCACGCCCCACAGCTTGAGAACCACTGCTTTATGATGAAAGGTAAGAAGTGAAATGGTGTTTGCAAATTTCATTTCTCATTTTCTTTTTGTGTTTTGGTTTTGTTTTCAGGCAAAAGTACTCCTATGGAAGATGGAACTTCTCATCCGTTTTCCAGAATGTGTTTCCCCGCCCATCCATGGAACCTGATACTGCTCTTCAGTATTGAACAGCTTGAGGAACACCTGCATCTCTGCCTGCATTTTCCATTGGACCAAAACCATGGTCTTCTCAGCAGTGTTGACTGCATCCCATGCTGGGGCGTCCAATGTGACATTTACAGTCTATGAAAACACCTACATGAATATTACTGTCCCTCCACCCTTCCAGCATCCCAGCATCGGTCCACTGCTTCAATATGGTTTCGAAACCATGACTCCCACGAGTTTGAGTTCCTTGACAACGAATAGCACAGCTGTGACCCCAACACCAGCAGTTTTTGAGAGCTTAAACCTCCCTCTCCAGATCATCCTTTCTGCTATAATGATATTTATTCTGTTTGTGTCTTTTCTTGGGAACTTGGTAGTTTGCCTCATGGTTTACCAGAAGGCTGCCATGCGATCTGCAATTAACATCCTCCTCGCCAGCCTGGCTTTTGCGGACATGCTGCTTGCAGTGCTGAACATGCCCTTTGCCCTGGTAACTATTCTTACTACCAGGTGGATTTTTGGGAAATTCTTCTGTCGGGTGTCTGCTATGTTTTTCTGGTTGTTTGTGATGGAGGGAGTAGCCATCCTGCTCATCATCAGCATTGATAGGTTCCTTATTATAGTCCAGAGGCAGGATAAGCTCAATCCATACAGGGCTAAGGTTCTGATTGCAGTTTCTTGGGCAGCTTCCTTTTGTGTCGCTTTTCCTTTGGCTGTAGGAAACCCTGAGCTGCAGATACCTTCCCGAGCTCCCCAGTGTGTGTTTGGATACACAACGAATCCCGGTTACCAGGCTTACGTGGTTTTGATTTCCCTCATTTCTTTCTTCATCCCTTTCCTGGTAATACTGTACTCGTTCATGGGCATACTCAACACCCTCCGGCACAATGCCTTGAGGATCCACAGCTACCCTGAAGGCATCTGCCTGAGCCAGGCCAGCAAGCTGGGTCTAATGAGTCTGCAGAGGCCCTTCCAGGTGAGCGTTGACATGGGCTTCAAAACACGTGCCTTCACCACCATTTTGATTCTCTTTGCTGTTTTCATTGTCTGCTGGGCCCCGTTCACCACTTACAGCCTTGTGGCAACCTTCAGTAAGCACTTTTACTACAAGCACAACTTTTTTGAGATTAGCACCTGGCTGCTCTGGCTCTGCTACCTCAAGTCTGCATTGAACCCGCTGATCTACTACTGGAGAATTAAGAAATTCCATGACGCCTGCCTGGACATGATGCCCAAGTCCTTTAAGATTTTGCCGCAGCTCCCTGGCCACACAAGACGACGGATACGCCCCAGTGCCGTCTATGTGTGTGGGGAGCATCGGACAGTGGTGTGAATACTGGAGCTGTCTGACACTTTGGGTGATGGTTGGTCATTGACTTTGAATTTTCTTTCACATAGATGCTCCACTTACACTTCATAGTTTTTCATAGGGGTTTTGTGTGTGTGTGTCTGAGGTGTAAAGAAAGAGTGGTCATCGGTTACAGTTTTGTTACCAAGCGTACACAGTAGGAAAGTGATCACACATTTCACCTCTAGAGTTTAAGAAAAGTCCTTGACTTAGGATGGGGAGAGTTTTTTTTAAAATTGATTTTGTTTTTGTAGTAGGAATCAGGATTATGTTTTACTGAGCCTACAGTTTGACTTGTAGGTGTTTTGTATGCTGCTAAGATAAGCGCAATTGATTTTATAAATTATTTTTTATTTTTTTTCTGGAAGACACTGCTGTTTTTTGTCATCACATTGGAGCCAAAAATCCATACATCTCAGATGATATTTAGTTTTAGTAAAAACAGTAACCCAAGGGGGTAAGTGACATTTTAAAGGTCATTACCATTTACTTTTGGTGCACTTTAAGAAAAAATGTAAAAATTAATTCAGTCATAATTTTCAGAATGTTTCTGTACATGACTTGGGCTTTAGGAAGCATGTGCATTATCATTTCTGGGAAGATAGTTTTATAAAAAATCTTTGTATCTGCACGTACAGTTTTAAAGAAGAGGTCAGAACAATGTAGACATTTTCCTAAGCACAATAGGAGCAATAGGACAAAATCAAGAGACAGTGCTCTTGCAAATTCAAAAGGGAACGCAGTGAGGAGGGTGGCTGCGGCAGGCGGCGACATTCTTCTTGTTCAAGGGCTCTCACCTGCTGTGGGGAGAAGGTGCTGCCATTTGTGGACACCCACCACGTGCCAGCCACTGTGCATCATTTTATCTTCACTTTTTTCCTTTTTACAGATGAAGAAAGCAAGTCTTGAGAGGGGTAACTACCTAACATGTTAGTGGGAGAGCTGGGCTTTAAAAATCTTGTCAGAATCTTGAGACTGTGCCGCTCTCCTTTGCCACACAGATGCCTCATTCAGCTTAGATGTTTCATATTCAAGAGGAAATTCTGTGTATCCTTTAACGTTTTCTAGACTAAAATCTTCTTTTTAAAAATAGCTTTATTTTCTTATTATCAAAAGAAAATTGGAAATCATTCTAGAGAGTTTAGGAAACAGAAAAGAAAAAAACAAGATCACAACCACCTTTTAAAGTAGAGCTTAAATGCCTTAGCTAAATAAGGCTATTTAGGAAATAAAGTGAAATTTTTGATTCGCGAAACAAATGACTGACGATTATTGAGAAATGCGGCTGTATCTAGGTCTTGCCCCTGTGGGTTTGGAGGTTTCCAGTCATCCATCTGCATTGGTTCTAAATGTTCTGGGGTGAATACCATCATCGCCCCAGTGCTTGCCCTAGAAGCTGGAGTTATGAATGTGCTCAGAGCTGTGTCCGTACAGAGAAGGGAAAATAAACCCTGGTCTGAGCCTAGGGCAAGTTTCAGTATGGCTTGTCTTTTTCAAATTATTTTTGTCTCACTATCTGCCCCTTTCCCCCAGCCTCGTCACCACCAGCCTACTTTATAAAACAGCCCATAGGGATGGGGCAGCAGATTAAGGCCATAAGGGCTGAGAGTGCACTCTCTTGGCTACACTGTGGGCTAAGTAGGTTTAGTTAACTGTGGACTTTTAATGTCTTTTTACAATTTTAGTGCTTTGTGAGCCAATGAAAAAATCAGCCTCTCTTTCTTTAGTTATAAAACCGGAGAGTTGGATCAATTGCGTCTCTAAGGTCCTGCAGAACTCTAACGAGCTTTTTTCCAAATGAGAGTGTGGAGTTTTGAAGAGCCAGGCTGGCCTCAGCATCACTCCATGGTCTCCAGTATTACCTCCTTCAATCTTACTTCATTAGCTATTTTTTAAAGGTAAACGTCTGCAGAGCTCCAGGCACAGTTTCAGGAGTTAGGAGGGGAAGACTGGCGACATCAGGAAAGACCTGGGAAGCCCTGCTCTTAGCCCCGGCGGTGCTGCGGTATTAGAACTCACTGTCCATCTACAGAGCTCCTTGGGGACTCAGGCATGTTATTCAACATGTTGTTTTGGGATCATCTTCAGATGATAGTCACCTACCTCTTTAATTTCTAATTTATACATGTTATTTACAGGTAAAATGTTTTTGTCCGTAGGGATTTTATAGGACATAAACTCTGTAGTAGATAAGTAGCGGCACGTTGAAGAGTATTATGCTTTCTCTTTTCAACATAAACTGGATTTCAAGGAGATAGTAACAGGAATTTTTTTGATTAGGCTTTCTCTGAGGAAAGTCAGCGTGATCTGTTTCATCTTACATACTGGTAGGTCAGGAGACTCCTTTTGTGGCTGGAGTTGAAACTGAGATTTCTTTCTTTGTTCTTTCTTATTTATGGGTGGCCTTCAGGTACTTTTATGCTGCTTAGTAGGCAGAGCCCCATTTGGTGAGAGCTCTCAGGTACCTGCTGAGACACTCACTCCTGCTGGCCTTGTAAAAATCCAGCAACAACACTAAACAGCGGTTCTCTCTACACTGGATAATCTTGATCAGATGACAGTTTACACTTCATCTTGAACTTGTTTATTATATATACATCTCGAAAGCTTTATAAAAATGGGTTCTCTAGTGCACCTTCAGGAAATTAGGTGCAAAAATTATATGTTGCCTAATCCCCATAATCTCTTGAGGGGGAAAAAGTAACCACTACTAATCCTCACTGTGGATGGACATAATCAGAAATGGTTTTTTTTGATGTTGATTTTTGCTTTTCCTTGTGGTTAGCAAGAAGCCTGAAAGATAATAAAATATTTGTGGTCAAAAGAAAGAGTCGAGAGAAATCCCAAATAGTATGGAGTAGTGTTATTTAAACTTTAATCTGTATTTAGTTATCCTGAGGGAGCTTGTTAACAGTTCAGATCCCTGGGGCCCCCAGAGGAGCGTCCACTGGGCCCTAGAATGCGCATTTTTATTTTGTCAGGGACTCTTGATTCTGGCTCAGGTGGTGGGTCCCTGGGGCACACTTCAAGGAGTGTAGAAAATCTATCTATTTAAGTATTGTTTGCTTATACCACAATGTTTGTTTTGTGCTGGAAGCCATTATCTCCTGGGCTTGGGTAATCTACCCTGAGAGTGAGGTCTGCATGTCATTGTGCCTCTGCGGGCTGGGTCTGGCCAGTGCTAGCTTTACTTACTCCACTGGCAAAATTCTTAGAAGCCGTGAAGTTTCACAATAGAGCAAAGAGAGTGACTTAATTAAAAGTCATACCTTTCAGAAGTCTATTTATTCTGATGTTTTCTTTTCTCCTAGAGAGATGTCTTTATTGTATGTAATCCCCGGAGAGTATGAGAAACATGTAAAGATGCATTCAATTCCCACTGCTCTGCTTATGCCAGTTGTGTTCAATGGAAGCATGAAGTAAAATAAAATAACATTCTTAGTCTATGTTTTTCTGTTGTGATAAACATATTTGAAAATTTTCTTGATCTTTTGTTTACATGAAAATATGTATCACAGAAAAGTTTTCACTTGCTTAACATTTTATTCTACTACAATTCTTAGTTTAAGTTTAAAGAACTGATAGATTCAAGTTTATTTCCACAACCGTAGTCCTGCTAAACTGCCTTCATTAAAAACTCAGTTTTTATGGTAATAACTGAAAATATCAAAGCACATGTTTGTTATTGCAGGTAAATGGTAATACATTTCTTAGATATCTATTGGTACTAGTTCTTTGTAATTAAAATTAATTTATTTTACAATAGTACCTGACCTATATGAACACAAACCAACCTGGAATTTTGGGTTGTAATATTAAATATCAGAAAGTGTGATTATTTCTGCATATTCTCATTTCAACCACAATTAGAAAGAAACCCAGTAAGAAAATAAATAAATGTTGAACATTTCTAAACTGGAGTTTTTTTCTTTTAGAGGACTACTGCATCTCATATTAGAAAAGTCTGTTATGGATAACAATTTCTGTTAAATTAAAATCTGAGTTTCAAATCCTGCTTCCTTTGGGTTCTTACTTTCAAATTAGCTCTCAAAGCCTGTGTGCCCACAATTATATTTTAGTTTTAGAAGTTATCAGATTCTCAGATTTGGGATGAAATGGAAGTTGAGAAAAACTATTATTATTAAGAAAGTTTTAAGAAATTCTGTCTTAGAAAGTTATGAAAGTCTTACTGGTGAATGACTTAAAATTAGATTGTCAGTTGGCCAAGCTATGACAATGCCTGCTTTTCCTTCAATGAAATTATTGCAATTCCTTTTCTAAAATCTAAGGCCCTTCTAAAATTCACTTATAAATCCATAGGAAACATCTTTTATTTATATATAAGGGTTTTGATTTTGTGCCAATTAAAGATGAGGGTTTTTTTTTTTTTTTTACACATTCAATAGCTAAATATAGTTCTTTTCAGGTTACAAAAGAAGATGGCTTTACAAAAGAAGGTTATCATTGAATCTATACTTGATGTTTCCTTCTGAAATGGAAAGGTAAGAAAAATGTAGAAAAATAGAGTTACATGCTGAATTAAAAGTGTATTCACATCTATGAAGATAACGAGCCCCACTCTCATCATCATTCATATTAAAGGAAACCCTTATGGAGCAATTTCTATCTTAAATATCAAGGCACAGTCAATATAATGCAAAAAAGAAAAATATTTCATGGCTGTATGTCAGTCAGGGTTCGACCAGAGAAGCAGAATTAGTAGGAGATATTTATTGCAAAAAAATTAGTTTACGTGATGGTTGGGCTGGTTAGGCAAGTCTGAAATCAGGGGAGGCCTCCAGGAAAGAATGATCAGAACTCTCAGGCCCAGGCTGCAGGTGCTGTCTACAGGTGGAATTTCTTCTTCCTCAGGGAGGCCTCAGCTCTGCTCTTAAGGCCTTCCAGTTGACTGAATCAGGGCTACTCAGATCATGTAGGCCAGTGATTTTCAACTGGTGTCTTGCAGCACACTGGTGGATCTTAGGTGTGCCTCAGAGATGATCATTAATTAAATCATTTTGAAAGCAGTTTAAGGCACAGTAAGTATATTCTTTTTCTTACTCTTTTTTCTAGTCAACATAATTTAAGTGTGCTGTGGAAGTTTATAAGTTCTAATGTGCTGTGAGATAAAAAAAGGTTGAAAAATGCTGATCTAGGCTGAACTCCTTTAGTTAAGGTGGACTGATTATAGACTTTAACTGTATCTTCAAAATATCTTCACAGCAACATTAAGATTAGGGTTTGATGGAATAATTGGGGTCTGTAGTCTGGCCAAATTGACTCATCACAATGGTTATTTCCAAATTTAAAATACTACATGAAATAAAATCTTCCCATGATACTGGAAGTGGTGGTCCAAGAATTGAATCACATAAATCTTACTGTTGAATAAGT